GGTTCGGATCCCTATATAGGGATGGCTGGTTAGCTCACTTGGGAGAGCATGGTGCTGACAACACCAAGTCAAGGGTTAGGATCCCCCTACCGGTCATCTTTAAAAAAAAGAAAATAAATAAAATAAAATAAAATAAATAAATAAATAAATAAATAAATAAATAAATAAATAAATCTTTGAGCTTTCTGGATTTATTTTATTTAAGGAATGAGTTATGGATCTGTTTTTTGTTTTTTTGTTTTTTTCCAGATGGCTAGTTGTCCCAACTTCTAACTGTCCATCAATAGGCATCTCGTTAAATAAATTATGCTACAGCCATACACTAGACCACAATGGAGGCATGAAAAAGAATGAGAGAGCTCATGTCATGTGTTGATAGGACAGAGACTCACAACATATGAGTATTATTATTATTTTTTCCCAAATAATAACTTTATTGTCTTGATTGTGCAATTGATTGCCTAGGTATTACGACAAGTTAGTACCATAACAACACATGTAAAAAATTTAAAAAATATGTAAGAAGTCCACATGCTTCAAGTTTATCCTGAGTTCCAACTACACAGAAAACTAGATAGCACAGAGTAAAAAGTAAAAGTGCACTTAGGCAGGAGTTGTATTTTACTATGGCCCTTCTTCCTCTGCATCATTTATTTCCAAGAATACACATCACCAGTGTCCCCTTTAGTTACATTCTGCCATCTGAACATCAACTGCATGGTGTACATGTTCTATAAGCACTTGTCATTCCAGAGAGAAAGAACTGACTTAAACCTATGGCCTTGGGAATTAAAAACTAAAGAGAAGCTCAATGCACACACTTACTGGTGTCCCTACCTCGTGGGGTCTTTGGGAGAACTAAATGAGTAAATGCATTGCGGTGTTAGCGCTGCCTGTCACATGGTAAGCTGTTTATCTTTTTTTTGTTGTTTTGTTTTGTCCTTAATTTTTATTGAATCAAAATTGATTATACATATTTTGGGGGTTCAACATTGAGATATGTTGATCAAATCAATATTACTAGCATATATATTGTTACAAATCATAATTATTCTTTATGCCCCTTGTCCAATCCCTCCCGACATATGAGTATTATTACGTGAAAAATGCAAAGCAGGGAACAGTTTGTATGATATGATCACAATTAGGTTAGAACATATGTATGATGTATGTTTCTATTTATCTGCATTCTTGTAGATTCTTAAATACTTTCTGGACAGATACAGAAGGAGCTTAATGATGGTTTAATCCTGGGAAAGAGGAAAAGAAAGAAGGAAGGATTTTACTTTTCATTTTATCCTTTTGATAGTGATTGAGTTATTTTTCATTAGGTACATGTATTACTTTTGTTTTGTAATAAAGAAATAAAAATAATTAAGTGGAACATGACTTTTATGTGTTTGTGTGGTTTTTATAAGCTCTTACAAATCAAATGATCTCTTAAAATCAATCAGTATCTGTGGTTTTGATTGATTTTGTTCCCTTTGATATTTCTTCCCCATCCACCAATAATAATGCCTAGAATGTATTGAGTACTTTCTATGAGACAGACACTGTTCTAATTACTAATGTTACTATTGTTGCTGTTATTCTCATTTTTAGATGAAAACAATTAAGCAAACAGAAGGCAGGTAGGTTGTCTAATGTTATCCAATTAGTAGGTAGCAGGGCTGAGATTTATGCCCAGACACTCACATTCCAGAGCCTATGGAATTTAATCACTATGCCATACTGCTTTTTTGTTAAGTTTGCAGAAATTGGAAGAAAACTTCAAATTTGTTTGTTTATTCAGTAAATATTGCCTGAATGCCTAGTATATAGTCCAGGTGAGAAAGGGGTTAAATGCTTCTTGCTTTTGTTAAGGAAAGCTTCTTGGATAAAGCACAAATAGGTGCTCCTAAAGTCTCTTCAATGTTGCCAATGGGATTGAGAAGCTGTAAGTGGTGGCCCACTGGAGCAGCAGCCAGCAAAGGATGTCCTTAACTATAAGAAGGTACTGCAGAGGACACTTGCTGAGAATGGCCATTTCCTCTAGTGCCCATTGCTGGGGATACAGAGTGGTCCTACCCTCCCTGGAGCTCTTGCACTAGTTCTGCCAGTGGATCCGCTATTAAAGGGAAGCAGAGAGTGCTGGTGTGTTGCCTTTAATAAAGGGATGTTGAGAAGTAGAAAAACACAATTCTCAAAGTTATTTGTTAACTTGTGCTGAAGTTTTATTTAACACATTGATGAGGGAACCAATGAAAAGCTGCTTTGAAGAGCATCTGAGAAACAGGGATTTATATAGTCAATAAGAAAAGGATTGCTGAAATAAGATTGCTAATTTAGATATAAGACTGGTTAACTTCCTAGGATAATAAAATCAAAACATCTTTGTGGTTAGCTTCTCTATTGGGCAATAAAACCCTATCATTTTATCAACTTCTGCAAGTTAATCTCTAACCTTACAGGACTGTAAATGTCTACACCTTTGTCAGTTGTAGATGATTTACCAAATATACTGTGACAACAAAGTTACATTTTGTGGGAGAGTCAGATGAGTGTCAAGCAAGCTTATTAGAAAATGCTCTAGCATGATACCAAAAAAACAAACAAACAAAAAAACCAAAAAAAACCCCAAAACCAAAAACCCCACAAACAAGAAACCAAGCCATCCTCCCTCCCTTCCTCCTTTCCTTCTTTACTTCCTCCCTCCCTTCCCCCTTCCTCTTCCCCTCTACTACCGTTGCAGACTTTTGGGGGGTTTCTAAACTGGATACTACACTGGTGACCCTCACTGTATAGAAGGAGACTCCAGCCCCACTGGAGGCCCTGCCTGTTCTTAGAGGATGTGGCTAGGATGAGGATGAGTAGATCTAACAGGTCTCATCTCCTTCCCATCTTGTTCTCCTCCTCTCTAACCTTCTTCCAATTTGAACCATGTAGCAATGAACTTAACTCCCTCTGTAGAGGGCTGTTCCATTGCCTTTACACCAACTAGTCCTGTTGGGCAGGTATGGACCCATTTGATAATTAGAGAGACTGAAGCTCCTGGAGGTTTGTATAGAGTCTCATATGAAGTTAGCATCTGGCTAAAATAGGGTTATTGATTCGTGGTCCAGTGTTCCTCCCATTAGCTCATGTGGTCTCATGCCCCCTCCAGATTGGCACCCCTCACCCCAAGGACATGGACCCCATCTCCACCTTCTTTCTCACCCTTGACTCTATCCACAGTATACGTGAGGCCTCCTGAGTGGAAAATGTGTTTTTCCTTGAGGCTGATTCCCCTAGGCTCACCCCCCACATCATTTTGCAATACAGCCAGGGTCCAGCTGCACAAGAGGCCTGAGCCTGGGCCAGAAAGAAGAGAGTGACCTGGGAGTTCCCAGGGAGGAGGAGAAAGGTGAGAGACAGAAGAGGGAGGGGAATGAAGCTGCCACACATCATCTGCCAAGGACTCTGCTGCAGGGAGGCAGTGGAGGTGCTGGAAGTACCCGTGTGTGAGGTGCAGTTTATTGGAAGGAGAGGGAAGCCTTGTCAATCACACTGAGCCCTTCCCCATATTTCCACCTTAAGCGCCATCTTGCCAACCTTCCCAGTCATTCATGCAACAATCTTAATTGTAAACTGGTACCATGCTTGCCACCACCAGGGGTCAAGAAAATCGGTCAGCTGGATCTGCCTGGAGGGTGGAAGCTGGGTCTGGGGTGTTAGAGAAGTGCCAGAGCTCTATGCCTATACTAGATAATTTCTCCCCCCCTGGTCTGTAGGTAGCAGCAGTGGTAAAGGCCTCTCCTCAGAACATTCTAGAGCAGTGAAAAGATGCCCTCTCAAGCCCAAGCAGTCTTACCTCATTTCTATTTCATGTATCTTGGGGGAAAACTGAGTGAAAGTGACCTTAAGCAGACTAAACACAGTTTGACTCCTCATTACATACTTATTTCTGTTCCTTTTTCATTCTATCCTCAAAGGGTTCTTTTTGTATCTATCAAACAGTTCCAGGCCTTCCTCTCTGCCCAGCTCATTACGGATTTACCAGAGACTTCAAACCACAGTTTAGAGGTGATCTAGGGGGCCGGCCCGTGGCTCACTCGGGAGAGTGCGGTGCTGATAACACCAAGGCCCCAGGTTCGGATCCCGTATAGGGATGGCCGGTTAGCTCACTGGCTGAGCGTGGTGCTGACAACACCAAGTCAAGGGTTAAGATCCCCTTACCAGTCATCTTTTATTAAAAAAAAAAAATAGAGGTGATCTAGGGAGAAAGGAGCAGTAACAAGTAAGCCTGGAAATGCGGGCAGTGACCCAGGCTGTGGAGCTGTTTATACTCACCCCCTGCCTCTGTGGGGAGGCTGTTTGTTTGAGTTGGGAGGAAGCCAATCAGATGTGTTGGATCAGGGTGTCCTGTCCCGAGGAGACAGGGGGCTATTTGTCTTCTCACATAAGAGAGACAGTCCTGGGAGGAGGAGGAAAGGGTTTAGGAATAGAGATGGAATGCACAGGGAAAAGATAGTTAATCAGATCCCTAAGAAGTATAGTTGGGGTGGGCTCCCTGTTGTTAGGTATGACCCACGTGAAAAACTGGAGCTCCTCTGCCTTGGAGAGCCAAGGAGAGGAGCAGAAGAGGGATTAGTGGAAAGGGCAGAAAGTTCTAGGCTTGACTCAACAACTGTATTGGGTGTGACTTTGGGCAACTCACTTTCCTCTCTGTCTTCTCTTCCTCTGGTAAATGAGGAAGCTCGATGTCCTGAGGTCCCCTCTTAGTTCTGAAAGTGCATGGTTCTAATAATGCAAAGATACTGGTGTGGGGTTGCTCAGCAAAGAGAAAAGAAGGCTAAGAAGCTATTTAAAGCTCTAAATGGTTGTTTATGGGGCAGGTGGGGGGGGGATCCCTTTGCATTGATAGCAAACAAAAAAGAATTGGGTTTATTCTGGATTGTTGGAGATGTTCTATATCTTGATCTGAAGGAGTGGGGGGTTAGTTACATGGTGTGTAATCAGGTAAAAATTCATTGAGTTGTACACTTAAGATCTGTGCACCTTTTTGTATGTAAATTATATCTCAGTAGAAAGGTTTTAAAAATGGACTTAAACTCCAGCAGGAATTTAGGCAAGTTCCCAACATGACAGACTTTAGAGAAAGTGAATTTCCACCCAGGGAGATTAAGGATCCCCTTCTCTTGAGAACTTTAAACTAAGAAGATCATCTATCTGTGCTGAAGGAGGAGGTGGTAAACTAGGGAACAAATAAGATGACCCCTCTTTTGGAGAGCCTTTCAAAGTCCCCCATCCTCAAAAATTCCTGTGTTCCTTCCCAGGGACAGAAAAACCTTCCTTACTGTCTAACTTCCATTTCTCCAATTGCAGTACTAGCCACTCCCTCTGCCCTCCATGGAGCCCAGCCAGTCCCCTGACCTCAGACAAAATATCTTTAGAACCATGTAGTTTGGAGTATTGAGAGGGACCCTATTTCAGCCTTCTCACCATCTGTTCTCTCCCCCTCACCACATTCTCTTCTTCTTTGGGATGTCAATTCCTGTTCTGAGCCCACCCCCCACCCAGGCCCTTTTTCCGGTGGTATGTGCCAGCTGGTCCTGCATCCCACATCCCCAGCTGTTGACATTTCACTGCCATTACCCACAGGATAAAGAAAGGGGCCCTGTTATTCAACAATAGGGGAAAAGACAGAGACAATGGGAAATTGTGCTTCCGATGGGGTGGGGACAGAGAAGGAAAGGACAGACAGGGGGACTGGACAGAAGAGGTCAAGTTTCTTGAAGCAGCTGGAAGTCCTGGAAGTCTGGTTCCCACCTTGAAAGTCTCTTCCCAAAGGCAATGCGCACCCAGGCACTGGAAGGCAGAGGTGAGAACTTTGCTGGGGGGAGGGGAGGTATGGGGTGCTGCTTAGATGAAGCCCATGTGCAAATGCAAAGGCAGCTGGAACTTGACAGCTATGGATCTTTGAGCCCTATTCGGAGTGCATCCCCATCCACCCAACACCCTCATACCCACCAATCCATCCATCCCTCTCTGGTCCAAGAGCATCTGGAAGCAACAAGGCACCCAATTTCCACACTCTTCTAGGTCGCCTCACTGTCCTGGGTTGCCTCCTTTACGCCATCCCCCGTCATGGGTTCCCCCTCATCCCAAGCCCAGCATCTTCCTTGTCCCAGGACAGTGAGCTCCACAGAGGTAGTCACAGGGCTGGACACCTGTGACAGCCTGGCTTAGTGGACCAATGGGTGGGGAGGAGTTCTTGGCACCTTGGCTTCTTCTTTGAGCACAGGGCAGAAGGCTTTCCTCAAAGGTGCAAAAGGAGCAACCGTGTTGATTAGGTGCTCAAGTCCTGGGACTTTAAGGGGCTTGGACCTCCCAGGAGCCTGGGCAACACCTTCATCCAGGACCTCTTCCTCAAGCAGGACAAAAAGCTGCTAAGCGTTGCTCCCCCTGTCTCTGTGAAGAGACCACCTTCTAACAGGTAGGCGATGGAGCTGCTGGGCACTCTCTCATTTTCTGTAAGGGGTATGAAGATGACGTGTGTGCGCCTGTCTGAAATACAGAAATATGGATCAGTGATTAAGAGCTTAAGCCTCATTCCCAGATCTGGATTCAAATCCCAGCAAACCCCTCCTCTTACTAGCTGTGTCCCCTCATTCAAGTTTCCTAAAATGTGTGCACCTTTGTTTCAGCATGTTTAAAATGGGATTTTTGATAATTCCTACGTCACAGGATTACTAGGAGGAGTATATGTAAAAGTACACATGTAAAGTGCTTAGAGCACTGTCAGGCACATTCAGCCTTAGACATGTGAATGCTAGCCATCATTACTGTTGGTCCCAGAATCACTCTCAGTTCCCATGACCGCCTGCATTTATCAGATTCTTCTGTACAGGAGAGGTGGTTCTCTCCCTCATGTCCCTTTCCCAGATACTTTCACTTTTAACCATGGGAAGTTCTTTCTGTGTCCAACCCCTGTTTCTCCTACTGCAAGCTGGTCTTGGGCTTTCATTTTCAGGAAAATGGAGCTCAGCTCTTCAGATTTCTAACTACTCTTCAAGGTGTTTCCTTCCTCTCCCCATGCCCCATCGCTTCTTCCCTAACAAGAAGTCCTTAATGTTAGCTCATTCATTAAAATTCTCACACACATTTATTTAGCACCTACTGTGTGCCAAAAACTATACTGGGAACTGGAGATAATAGCTAACACATACATAGCACTTATTACATCAGGTACTATTTTAAGCATTTTGTATATATTAATTCATCTAATCCTCACAGTTGCTTAGTGAGGTAGGTGTGCTATTATTATCTATATTTTACTGATGAGGACACTGAGGTAGAGAGAGGTTAAGTAACTTGTTAAAGTCATGCAGTTAGGAAGTGAAGGAGACAAATTTGGAAAATGGGTAAAACCAGGCCAAGGGGTTTTCAGTCCAATTAAAAAAAAATAGGACAAGGTGATAATAAGATACAGTAAAGAAGGGGAGAAAATCAACTACCAAAATAGACAATTGCATTTGAAATAGTTTTAAAAATACCTTCATAATTTTATGCTTTTAACTTTATAATTTCTAGAAAACCTCTTTGATATAGTATATATATATATATGCATATAAATTACTTTCAAATTCACACAGTTTAGGTGCTAATAAAAGTACTTCTAAAGAAAAAAAAAAAGTCCCTGGTCTAGTCCCATAGACCACAGTGCACCACAGTGTGGCAAACTAGGGTACGAGGAAAGGTTTCCCAGAGAAGGTGAGGTCCCGATTGATGCCCATGAAAAGGAGATGAGTGCAAACTTGCACTGTTTTGGAAACTGCCAGAAGTCCAGCACATCTGGAGCACAGCGGGGAGGGCAGGGGTCGTGGGGGCGATGTCTGAGGTGCAGGGAGAGGCTGGGTTATAGCGAGCTTCCAAAGCTGTGGCTCGGAGATTGCCCTTTATCCTCAGGGCAACGGGGAGTCACAGGTTCGAGCAGGAGAATGACATGATCATATTTACTCTGGCTTCAGGATGTAGGATGTATGTTGGGAGAGGGTAGAGACTGGAGCTGGCAATCCAGATGGCAAGCTCGGGAAGTAGCGCGTGTAAGGAGAGGGGATACTAAATAAGTCAGGACCTGCTGACTGAGGGGATGTGAGAGAGGAAGGATGGGGCAGGGGAAGAGGGTGGGTGGGAGAGTAGTCGTTACTACCTTCCTCCTCCCCATTACCTTCCTTTTGTCACCAGCCCTTTTCTGTCCCCATGGCTTCCAGCTGAACGGTCCCCTATGGGAGATCATCCCAACCCTACTCTTCCCCCATCCCTTTCCCTCACTCCTAAGGAATGCCACCCCTTGTGCCCTGCAGACAGTGCTGGGCTGATTCCCCATCATGCCAGGCCAGTTCACTCTCCCCACATTCTGCCGCTTCCTTCTCCCTTGGGCCTTCACCATCTGCCTCATAGCCCTGGGAGACCCAGGTAAGACCCCAGCCCAGCCCAGGATCTGGGGAACCCTGAGGGAGAGGCTCAAGAGGTGGGGAAAGTGAAAAGGGCAGTTGTTCAAGGTACTCAGAGAGTGAGAATCGTTGCTGCATGGGCAGTGGAGGAGAGGGTTGGCGGAGCCTGGGGAAAGCATTTGGGGTACAGGGTCTGGATGGGCACTTGGGGCAGTGAAGATCAAGGGGCTGCTGCCACTGTGGCCCCCTCTGCTCAGCACCCCACCCGGGCCCCCACTACCTCCTGCCCCCCATCCACGAGGTCATTCACTCTCGTCGTGGGGCCACGGCCACGCTGCCCTGCGTCCTGGGCGCCTCGCCTCCCAGCTACAAGGTGCGCTGGAGCAAGGTGGAGCCCGGGGAGCTCCGGGAAACGCCGATTCTGGTCACTAACGGACTGCACGCCCGGGGCTACGGGCCACTGGGAGGGCGTGCCAGGATGCGGAGGGGGCATCGGCTAGACGCCTCCCTGGTCATCGTGGGCGTGCGCCTGGAGGACGAGGGCCGGTACCGCTGCGAGCTCATCAATGGCATAGAGGACGAGAGCGTAGCGCTGACCCTGAGCCTGGAGGGTGAGGCCCTGCCGCTCCCGCCCCGCTCCTCTCTAGCTAGAGTCGGGACGCCTTGCTTCGGGTCTCCCAGGGCTCCTTCCGAGCACCTCCCCCGCCCCCTCCCGGGGTCCCCCCAGGCTCCTCTGCTAGGCTGCGCTGCCTTTCCTCTCCCCCCGGCCCTGGCCGGGTCTGCTGGCCCTCTCCAGGCTCTCCGCCACCCCCCAGGTGTGGTGTTTCCGTACCAACCCAGCCGAGGCCGGTACCAATTCAATTACTACGAGGCGAAGCAGGCGTGCGAGGAGCAGGACGGACGCCTGGCCACTTACTCCCAGCTGTACCAGGGTGAGCGGCGGAACACCAGCACCGCCCAAGCCCCCTCCCGGCTGTCACTGGCGCGCCAACGAGGAAAGCGGGCGAGCTCTCATCCCCGACCCCCTCCGTCTCCCGCCAGCATGGACCGAGGGTCTGGACTGGTGTAACGCGGGCTGGCTGCTCGAGGGCTCCGTGCGCTACCCAGTGCTCACGGCGCGCGCTCCGTGCGGCGGCCCAGGTCGGCCCGGGATCCGCAGCTACGGGCCCCGCGACAGGAAGCGCGACCGCTACGACGCCTTCTGCTTCACTTCGGCGTTGGCAGGTCAGGGGCGGGGTCTGAAGAATGGGGGCGGGGGAAAGTGGAACCCAAGGCGTGAGATCAGGGGCGGGTCTCCTCGTCTTTGCAAACCACCGTCCCCTGCATCAGCCGGCGCAGGCTCCAGCCCACCTCTGGAAACCCCCCCTGCACCCCACTGCCTCGATGCTCCCGCTCCTCCTGTCCCGACACCCTGCCCGCCGACTCCGCTGCCTGAGAGTCGGAATCCCCGCAGCGTCCCGCCCCGCTCTGTTCTCTGCCTGTTGGTGACCCGCTCCGGTCCCCAGGCCACGTGTTCTTCGTGCCGGGGCGGCTGACGCTGTCTGAAGCCCACGCGGCGTGCCGGCGGCGCGGGGCCGTGGTGGCCAAGGTCGGGCATCTCTACGCTGCTTGGAAGTTCTCGGGGCTGGACCAGTGCGACGGCGGCTGGCTGGAGGACGGCAGCGTGCGCTTCCCCATCACCACGCCGCGGCCACGCTGCGGGGGACTCCCTGATCCCGGGGTGCGCAGCTTCGGCTTCCCCAGACCTCAGCAGGCGACCTACGGGACCTACTGCTACGCAGAGAAATAGGGGCCCCCCACTCCCCCTTCCGCGCGCGCCAAAGCTTGGGAGTGGATGCAGGGATCTCTCGCCTCCCTTTCCTGCGAGCCTCCCCTCCCATCAGACGAGGAGCGGCCCCTCCAGACCTGCCTTCCCAGCCGGGAGCTGCGGGCCACGGACCCCGGCTGGCCCGGCGTCGGGGAGGGGAGGTGGTTGCGCCCCCGGCGGCGGGGTGCAGATACGACCTCCGGACCCACCGATTGCAGACTCGGGGAGGTTAGCGTGCTCCCAGCAGAGGAGGCAGACACCGCTAGGGGGCGGGAAGGGTTCCCGGGGCATTAACTGACCTCTGTGTACAGCAATAAAATAACTTGGGGACCTTCTGTGTTGAGCCGAGCTATAAGCGCTGCGCGCCATGGGGGTATGTGTGTGTGAGGGGGCTGACCCTGGACCCAGAAGGCCGACTGCGCGCCTAAGAAGACGAGGGGCTACTGCCACTACCGGGTGAGCCAGCGGAAGAATGGGCACCAATAGGCAGAAGGAGAGAGTCGGGGACAAAGTGGGCGGCCAGGCCGAGAGCTGAAGGGGAGCACCCAAGCTGTTGTTGCGCCCGGCGCCATGCGGGGGCGCCGCACACTCACTAAGAGTACTTCAAGTTCAGAAGCGCTCCATCCCTTCAGGCCCACCCTCTGGGCCCCACAGAACAAATGTAACATGGACCCAAACATTTTTCAACAAGAGTTTGCGTCCCGCCGGTCTCCCAGAAGTTTTTTTTGCGGGGAATACTATAGGAAAGCAATACTGTTGTTACAATTGAAGGGAAATTTACCCTGAGAAAGGAGGCAAACACCGAACACCATGGCCACCAAGGCAAAAGGGCGGACTGGACCAAGTTAACATCCTTAACATATGGCTAAAGAAAACATGCTAGTAATTCAAGAGACAAACTCTAATGCTAGTAATGCATCTTTCTTTTATGTATACAGTTATGTGCCACATAACTACGTTTCCGTCAAGGATGGACCACATATATGATGGTGGTCCCATACGATTATAATGGCTATACCATGTAGCCAAGGTGTGCCGAGGCCATACGTCTTGGTTTGTGTAAGTACAATCTATGATGTTCACACAACAATGAAATCACCTAACGACCAACTTCTCAGAACGTGTCTGCATTGTGGGCCGGCCTGGTGGCGCACTGGAGAGTGCGCCACTTGGGAGTGCTGTGGCGCTCCCGCCGAGGGTTCGGATCCCATGTGGTGACCGGTTCCCGCTCACTGGCTGAGCGCGGTGCGGGCACAACACCGAGGGTTGCGATCCCGTTACTGGTCAGTAAAAAAAAAAAAAAGACAAAAAGGAAAAAAAAAAAATAAAAAAAGAACGTGTCTTCATTGTTAAGTGACTCATGACGTTATATATACACTCATATATATATGTATTTCAAGCAATCTAACTATACCACAAAAAGCCTAGACTAGAGAATAGTAACGAGTGGGGCAAAAGGTATGAACATTCTAATGGTGCTTGGTACATGTTGTAAAATTGCTTTCCAAGAGAGTTCCTGCTATAATTGCTAAAGAAAATTCATCTCATGGGACATTATATGAGTCAGAAAATGATAGAATGAACAGCATCATCTATAACCATCATACAGCAGATAAAATGTTTGTGCCATTTCCTAATATGTGGTTTTCTCATCATGATAAATAATAATGTCTGTCTCCTTGGTTCATTGTGAGAATTGATTCAGATATTGCATTACTGGGTAATACATGCCTGGTACACATTAGAGGCACTCAATAAGTGGTATCTATAATAATTATTATAACAGTAGCATAGCAACAACAGTAATGATTATTACTCAGGTTCTTTCCAGGCAGCCTGTAGAATTGGTTACTATATGGCACTGTGTTAGTCAGAATCCGCTAGATTATATGCTGTGATAACAAACAACTCACAAATTTCTGTGGCTTAAAACAACAAAGGAGTATTTCTCACTCAGGCTACATGTGCATCATGGTCTACAGAGGGCTCTTCTCATTTTAGTCATTCAAGGACCCAGGTTATCAAACAGCAACTGTCTCAAATGCTATTAGTCACCATGCCAGAAGGAAAAAAATAAAAAGAGCTCTACACAGGCAATTAAGAACTCTTGCCCAGAAGTGACACCTGTCCTTTGTTTCACGACTCATTTTCCAGAACTAATCAATAGCCCCACCCAACCATGAGGGGGTAGGAAAGAGCAATACTACTTTGGCCTAGAAGTAGGAGAACTGAACAGCACCAGCACCATTGTCTACCACAAACGACAAGGAGCATGGTCTAGATTCTGGGACATATTGGTAGTCATGCATCTTCCCCTCGTCTGGGTTTTCTGAGTTCTGGCCTATGATGAAGTCAGAGACCCAGAAAGGCAAGATCCTGGGCCCCAGCAGCTCAGCTGGCAGAAAGATGGCTTCTCTTCATTATAATGCCTTCAGCCTTGTGCGAGAGACCATATGAGAAATGACCATCAGTTTCCATTTGCTGTAAAACTCCATTTCCTCACCCATAAAAAAGCAATACCACTAATTCTTACAACTACTCTGCATGTTGTTATTACCATTACATTTCTTTTTTTTTTTTTTAAAAGATGACCGGTAAGGGGATCTCAACCCTTGGCTTGGTGCTGTCAGCACCACGCTCAGCCAGTGAGCAAACCGGCCATCCCTATATAGGATCCGAACCCGTGGCCTTGGTGTTATCATCACCGCACTCTACCGAGTGAGCCACGGGCCGGCCCTACCATTACATTTCTTTATTACAGAGAACTTTAATACACACAAAAAATAAAAAGAATAGTCTGATGAACCACTCCATCATCCAGCTTAACCGTTATCAAAATTCTGCCCTTTTTGTTTCATGAGTCCCCCCACTTGTGTTTGTTTTGCTGGAGTAACTAAAAGTAAATCCCTGGGCCGGCCGGGTGGTGCACTGGAGAGTGCGCTGCTTGGGAGTGCGGTGGCACTCCCGCCGAGGGTTCGGATCCCATGTGGAGACCGGTTCCTGCTCACTGGCTAAGCGCGGTGCAGGCACAACACCGAGGGTTGCGATCCCGTTGCCGGTCCCTGGTACGGGCACGACACCAAGGGTTGCAATCCCGTTACCGGTCAGTAAAAAAGACAAAAAGGAAAAAAAAAAAAAAAAAAAAAAAAAAAGTAAATCCCAGATATCCTATCATTTCACCTGTAAATTCTATGTATTTCTAACACATAATGACTTTTTAAAATAACCATAAATCCATTATCATACTCCCCCAATAAAATTAAATTAATATCATCTAACATTTAGTCCATGATCAATTTCCTATCTAAAAAATATAATTTTGTAGTTGATTTGCTCAAACCAGGCCCATGCTTTGCACTTGGTTAATTTGGAGGGGGGTGATTAATGTGTTTATGTAGTCTCTTTTAGGCTTGTATTAGTCCGTTTCTGTTATTTATAACAAAATACACAGAACTGGATGATTTATGAGAAAATGAAATTTGTTGCTTACAGTTTCTGAGGCTGGGAAGTCCAAAGTCCAGGGAACATATATGGTGAGGGTCTTGGTGGTGACGACAGTGACCCAGAGGTCTTAAATGGCAGAAAATGGTGGAGCAGAGAGAGAGAACTTCTCACATGCTCTCCTTTTAAAGCCATCAGAACCACACTCCTGACTACCGTTATTAATCCATTCACTACGGCAGGGTCCTACAATCTAATCACCTCTTCAAGGCCCCACCTTTCAATTACCATAATAGGACTTCCCACCCTCTTTACTCTGTCACAGTGGGGACTAAGTTTTACGGGGACATTCAACCTAAGGCAAAGCTATAATACTTCTGCCTCCTTCATTTTATCTATGCCATTTTGTTTATTTGTTTAAGAATCAGGGTCATTTTTCCTGTGAAGTTTTTCCACATTCTGGATTCGGCTGAATGTATCCTTGTGATGTCATTTAATATGTTCCTTTGTCCACTGTAATTATATTTAGAAGTTTGGTTGAATTCACATTCATTTTTTTCCTAGGAATATTCTATATGTGATACTGTATAATTCCTCTTTCATTGCATCAGGAGGCACATGGTGACTGGTCATTCTACTTTCAGTGATGCTAAGATTGATCAGTAAATTCTGGTAGTGTCAGTCTGATCCACTCATTATATAGTTCGCCATTGTATTAGTTTCCTGTGGCCGCTGTGACAAATTGTCACAAACTTGGTGGCTTAAAACAACAGATATTTCTTCTCTTACAGTTCTGGAGGCCAAAATTTCAAAGTCAAGGTTTCAGCAGGGCTGTACTTCCTCTGGAGATTCTGGGTAGAACCTTCCTTGCCTCTTTCAGCTTCTGGTGGCTGTCAGTGTTCCTTGGCTTCCTTGTTGCATCACTCAGTCTCTGCCTCTGTGGTCATGTTGCCTCCTCATCTTCTGTCTCTCATGAAGACACTTGCCATTGGATTTACCCCACCCAGCTAATCCAGGATGATCTTACCTCAAGATCCTTAACTGAAGTTAAGGAATGAATTCATGTAATAAATTATGTCTGCAAAGACCATTTTCCCAAATGAGATAACATTGACAGGTTCCAGGGACTAGGACATGGACTTATCTTTTTGTGACCACCATTCAGCCCACTACATCCATCAACTTTTTATCTAATGGATATGGATGATCATTGTCTCAATCCATTATTTCATTAGGAGTTGAAAAATGGAGATTTTCTGATGTTATCATTCCTTCCTTCACTTATTAGGTGTGAATCATCTATAAAGAAAAATTTCCCTCAACAACTGTCTTGTTACCTTGACATATAACCCATTCAGAAAAGGTGGGATTAATGCTTGATTCTATTCGCCTTAAGTAGGATTTCCTAAGAGCAGATCTTGAGTTAGGAATTTGAGTAAAAGCAGTTTATTTGGGAGGTGATGCTAAGAAGCACTGGAAGAGGAGAGGAAAAGTGAGACAGGAAAGGGAAGGAAACCAATTACAGGTGTATAATAGAGCAGGTGGGCAACTGGGGCTCAGTCCTACTGTGGAACTCTGGGAGACACTGTAGAAGCTGCCTCAGAGAATCCCCCCTGAGGGGCAAAGAAACCAGGGTATTATTTATCAACTCCCTGTCTGAGAGTTGAGGGCTCCTTCCAGGAGTGATAACTCTCTAGCATTTCTGGCTTATCCTGAGCACAAACATGCTCCCACAGCCAGAAGAAAAGCCCTCAGGCAGAGCCATAGATGTTTGCAAAGAAGCCTTCTCTTTGCAAAGGTGAGTGCGGAAGGATGTGGGTCACAACTGCAATCCACCCCTTGCACTGCTCAGATCCTTTGGTGCCTCATTGTTAAATTCACTTTGTCCTGTCAC